GCCACCACCTTGACTTTTTATTTTTTTTAATAAAATTTTGCAGACATCTCTCTTAGAGCATAGATCCAAATTGTCGGTGTCACTGGAAGTTCTAAAAATTAGACCTGGTCATAAATGGCTTTTCTAAACATTTCACAAAAAATCTCGAACAATTTCTTAAGGGCAAGAGTCTTGTTTAATGATGATAGCAGCACCACTACTGAAAAAGTCCAGAACTTCTCTCACAATGACTTCTCTTGAAGCTGTGGATGACTGAATAAATTATTGTGTAATAAAAGATGAGAGATTCACCCATACTTCTTGGCCATCTCATAACAAAACAAACACAATAATAGTATAGTCCACTTTAGTGATGAATTCCCTTGCACTGGGAAAGTTCTTTTAAAATGTTCGGTCCTCAAACTGAGTGAAAACTGATATAAAAACTATAGAAGATTTCTCTGTTATCAGTCTGAGTCAATCATTTGACTTCAGACTAAAGAAGGATTGGATAGAAACCTTGAGACTTTAGAGAACCTCTGGGCGGGAAACGGTGACTCTGTCCAGGTGTTTCTTCTGTGTGAACTTGCACAGTTGTCAATGTAATTCACAATATAATATCTGCTTTTAGAGTTATTTATTTGCACTTAGTTTATTTTTATGCTGAAATTTAGGACATGTTTTATTGTTTGATATTTGTTTACTTTTTTTAATTCTTGCAAACTGTTCTGGGAGCTTTTGCTGAAGTGTAACTAGTATATAACTTATAAATAAATAAGTACCTTATCTGTAACTCTTGATGTTATTTTGCTGCTTACTCCTTCTTGTTGCTGACATCTAATTTTATCCTGTGGACAAGTAATTAGGCTGTTCTAGGAAAGTAAATAGATGATTTTGCTGTGCTGGAGAACTTATCTCCTCCTCCATCCCTGCTGTGCCTCTTAGCTTTATTTTCAAACTGAAAGCAGATAGCTCCTGCAGAGCTGTAGCCAAATCAATTTTAGTTTCCAGCAGGAATGCAAGACTGTCACTTTTATGATGAGGGACATGCAACCATCAAGAAACAGCTATCACAAATAAGAGAAAATACCCAATCATGTGTGCTAAATGTGTTTTCAGCATGCTGATGTAGCTCTGCCTTCATGAGGTGCTGGCAACCCATTCATGTTGGCCTGCAAGGTAGTCTCTAGATTAACGGTCTTACTTTGCAAAGAAGAGCATGAATATATTTGAGATAAAACTGGGCTCAGGTTAGTATCCTTGAAGCATATAATACTGTCAGTTTGGATATATTTTGGGCAGAAGGAATGAAAATGTAAACTGCTGAGCCTCTGCTTTGAAAAATTTCTCATATGATTTGTATCTGTGGAGATTCTCAATTATCCAGGCCATGGTTGTCCCAAAATTCTCATATGATTCATATACAAATCGTAAACATTTGTATTCATTTGTACAACTGGAACAGGGATGCATATAAATCTAAAACACGGTCAATTTCATTATTTACAAGAATAAGTTAAGAATTAGAGAAAGAGACAAGAATGACATAAATGCGGGACAGACCATTTTTGGTACTGCCAAGAGAGGATTGGGATGAAAATAGTCATAGAGGAAGAAAAGGAAAGAAGGATGAAATTTACAATAAATGTAGAATGGCTACAGGCAGAGAAAGTAAACTAGTCCTGTAGAAATTAGATCAACCTCCCTGAAGAGATTATCTCATGCTTTTAATCTTTTTGGCTATCTTTTTTTTTTGTTGTTGTTGCTATCTTTTTTTGCTACCTTTCTGAACTTTGAATAGGTTGCTTACCCCCAAAGAAATAGCATGATAAATATGCATGTAGGTATGTATATCCGTAAGTAAGCAACATCTCGCTTTGATCAAACAACACAGTCTTGGTTTGCAATCTCTACCCCTTTCACATGTTTTCTTGTGGGTCCTCGGTTTTCTCATTTTACTCATACCCTTTTTTTTCCACAGGAGCCATCAGATCTGGGCTGTAAAAAGGCAGACAAATAAAGACTCTTTATTTAGCCACCAGGAACGTAGCCTAAATATGTCGTCCCATCCTCCTTCGTACCAGATCCTGGGAAAAGAGTTTCTCCCAACTGCTTATATGGGAGGGCATTAGGGCATGGGAGGGGGGGAGGGCATTAGGTGACCAAGCAGACAAGAGAACACTTCCTCTGCATCACTTGATGACAGCCAGTGGTTGCCATTCAGCCCCTGCATCATTGTTATCATTTTCCCCTTCCTGCACCTCCTCTGTTACCTTCTTCACCTCATACAGTATATTCAAGAAGTAGGCAGGAGATTGATATTGCTGGCTTGGCCAGGTATGGAAGAGGGGAAGTTTAGAGGATTGGCTGAGGGACACAAGCAGAGGACTGTCGTTGTGTCCAGAAAAGCACAGGGATGGGTAGAGTAAGAAGTGGGAAGAGGTCTAGTTTAGGGACCTCGGCTTTTCCAAGCCACAGTGCAACTGCTTAGACTATGCTATAATTCTCATAAAGCAACCTTGTGTTTACAAGTGTTATGTCATTCTGAAATATAAAGGGTAAGTGCAAACAGGTTGCCAGATGCCCAGATTGCAATCACGTGATCAGGGGGCCCTGCAGGGGCTGTAAGTTTGGCACCAATCATAAATGTCTTTGTTCAGCACCATCATAATTTTGAATGGTCACTGACTAAATGGTTCTTAAGCGAGGGCGACCTGTAATTATAAAATATAAAATGTATAAATCAAATATAAATTTTATGTTTGGGTATTTTACGGTTGGATAACAACAAGCATGGACAAGTTGAAAATGTGATTAATAAAGAATACATTAAAAGAGTGAGAAAAGTACTTAAGAAAAAATTGAATGGGGGGAAACACCATCAAAGCTATCAATACCTGGGCCATACATAGCTGGTATCATTAAATGGACACAACTTCAACTGGACGGTTTGAACCAAAAAACTAAAAAGCTAATAGCTATTCATTTTGCATTACATCTCTGTAGTGATACCTGTGCTGCAGCAACAGAGGTTGAGCTTTACCTATCCAGTTTTGGTCACCACGATGTAAAAAAGATGTTGAGACTCTAGAAAAAGTACAGAGAAGAGCAACAAAGATGATTAGGGGACTGGAGGCTAAAACATATAAGGAATGGTTGCTGGAATTGGGTATGTCTAGTTTAATGAAGAGAAGGACGAGGGGGGACATGATAGCAGTGTTCCAATATCTCAGGGGCTGCCACAAAGAAGAGGGAGTCAGGCTGTTCTCCAAAGCGCCTGAAGGCAGGACAAGAAGCAATGGGTGGAAACTAACCAAAGAGAGAAGCAATCTAGAACTAAGGAGAAACTTCCTGACAGTTAGAACAATTAACCAGTGGAACAACCTGCCTCCAGAAGCGGTGAATGCGCCAACACTTGAAGTTTTTAAGAAGAAACTGGACAGCCATTTGTCCGAAATGATATAGGGTTTCCTGCCCGAACAGGGGGTTGGACTAGATGACCTCCAAGGTCCCTTCCAACATTATCTTTATTATTATTATTATTATTATTATTATTATTATTATTATTATTATTATTATTATTATTATTAGTCCAACCAACTGTCAAAGAGGAAAAGCATGTGTTGGCTGATTATGAAAAGACCACCAAGAACACATATTGATGCAGGTTTAAAACTGGAACTTACGAAATGTGAAAGAAACAAACATGAATATTGAAATAATGTAATAAAAACTCACACAGAATGCTGGTAATAAAAACATTACATGTTCAATTTCTAGAAAGATCAAGTGAAAAGTGGATAAAGCTAAATCCTGGCAATAGCTTATAACTGGAATATTTTTTAAAAAATGATTTTGTAGGCTTGATTTTAGCTGCTCAAGAGCAAGCTATTTGAACTAATGCAATCAAGGTCAGAACTGAAAAATTGTCTAATGATTCAAAATGCAGATTATGCAAAGAAACAGAAGAAACAATAGCTCACATACTCAGCTCATGCAAGACAATCACACAAACTGATTATAAATGATATAACACAGTCACAAAAATGATTCACTGGAACATCAGTAAAAATGATCAGTAATGAAAAATTGTTGGGAACATAAGAATTGAAAAAGTACTTAAAAATAAGCAGGTTAAAATATTGTGGGATTTCCAAATACAAACTTATATCTTGCTGTATAGCACATCAGATTTAACTGTGGTTGAAAAGAAGAAAGTGTAGATAATTGATGTGGCAATACTAGGAGACAGTAGAATAGAAGTCAAAGAATTGGAGAAGATCACAAAGTATTGTGATCTGAAAATTAAAACTGCAAGATTATGGCATAAACCAACCATGGTAGTTCCAGTGGTTATCAGCACATATATAGTAGGTTGTTGGGAAGAACTTAATGTGTATGAAAGCCAACAACAGCTACAGAACTGACAGCTGTGATTTCACATTTTTGTCTATACTATAATTGATGTGTATGAAAGCCAACAACAGCTAAAGAACTGACAGCTGTGATTTCACATTTTTGTCTATATTATAACAATAACAACACTTGGGAAGAAGGCAATGCATATGAAAGTCAATATTAGCTAAAGAACTGGCAGCTGTGATTTCACATTTTTGTCTATATAATAACAACAACAATAGGATCTCCTAGATAGAACCTGGAGAATGAACTGAAGAATTCCATTCATGGTTATCTCAATGTCTCCTACATATTCTAAGCTATAAGGTAACACCTCAGTTCTTCCTGAATTCCATTTTTAGTTCAGAATATTTTTCTTTTAATGATGCTTTTGAATAATTAATATTTTAATTATTTATATTGATTGATACCTTTGATCTTTAAGGTGTGTAGACAGGTTGGTATTTAACTGCAATTGTTATTGACTGATACTGATGTTGGTTATCTGGTATCAGTATTTCTCTTTTTGTTGTTTGCCTTCTAACCGACACTGCACTGGAAATCTGCACTCTTGTGAGTGGTCCAATCATTCTGAAATCATTGTCAAGAAGCCAATATCCTACCTGCAAAGCCAATTGTAACAGGAAACTGTGTGGGTTTTTCTTCAAAATGTCCTTCCCCCCTACCTCTTTCATAGAGCAGATTGCCTGCATCTGGTCTGTTGTGTCGAGATGTCTTCTCTTCATTGACTGAAACAGAAAAAGCAGTCTGTTTTTTGACTGTGTAGGGCTACGTGTGTAGGCCTGAAAAAGTGAATCAAACCAGGCCAAATGATTGCAACCAGAATACACATAGTGTTAAACTATTACTGTATTGCTATAGCATGATTTGAAATAAATAGAGGGGGAAAGAAAGAAAGAAAGAAAGAAAGAAAGAAAGAAAGAAAGAAAGAAAGAAAGAAAGAAAGAAAGAAAGAAAGAAAGAAAGAAAGAAAAGAAGGTGAAGGGACATATTTCTTATAGTTGAAAAATTCCAGTAAATGCTGTATAACCACCCAGTTACAGCAAGTTTATACAATTTTCATAATAGTTTTTCTTTCTTTTTATTCTTTCTTTATATTTCTTTATAATTGCAGATGCTAAAATTGAACAGTATTTGCATTAGTACACAAACGGTGCAAGCAAATGAAATTCATTAAAAAGAAAGGAGAGGTTTCTTTTGGAATACTATGGAGCGTGGCTGTAAAATACTGTAGCTAAGCAATAAATATAGGTAATCCTAGACTTAATGACCATTCATTTAACAATAATTCAAAATTACAATGGCCTTGAAAAAAGTGATTTGTGACCTGTCCTAAAAGTTATGACCCTTGTGATTTTGTGTAATTGCAATTTAGATTCATGTCAACCAGCTGGCATTTATGACCAATTGCAGGTATCCTATGGTCATCTGATTGTGATTTGCAATCTTCCCAGACAGTTTCGAACCACAGTGTCAATTGGGGAAGCGGGATTAGCTTAATAATCATACGGTTTGTTTAATGTCCATGTGATTTGTCTAACAGTGGCAACTTACTCTAGTGACCATGGTAAAAGTGGTCCTAAAATCAGCTCCAGTCATGTGATGACTTACTTTAGGACTGTGCTAATTTATGATGGAAATTCTGGTCCCAGTTCTGGTCATAAGTGGAGGAGTCCCTGTACCATGCATTTACATTAGAAGAACTACTAGCTAAAGGAATATGTGAACAGAACATGGTTGAAGGTTTCAATGGTTGGGGGAAATGGTTAAGGGAATGTAACAAACAAACATTTCACACTTAGCTATTATTCAGTAGTTCAGTGCATTTGAATTTAGTACATATGAAGTTATGGGAAAAATAAGAATGGTAAAGTAATCTTACTCAGCTAACTTACACTGCACTTGGGTTCTACTGGGATGGAGACTTACACAGATTTCTGAAATGTACTATTTTAAAATATTTTCGGTATTTTTACTTGTAATATATTTTCTGAGCTGAGAGCTGCTCAGAGTTATTGACTGAAATGGGCAGCTATATAAATTGAATAAAACAAACAAACTCTAGCGAGCATTATATTACTACATAATGGGACTTTAATGTTTTCTGCCCAGAAAATCACTGGATTTCTTGTCAATATTCAACACATTAAATGCAGAAAGCTTTGTGACATAAACCCATAGTAATACTGGGGTCATCTTGTGTAATGGGCAGAAGGAATAACTTTGAGGAACAGAGAAAGAACCCCAACCAAGATAATGTTCAGATAAAGGAAATATAAACATTCAGATTTGTAAGATTCTCTTATCAAAAACTTAGAATATAAGTAGCATTAGCATTCATAACTCCGATTTCCTGGTCTGATCTATCTTGAAGGACTGACATCTTGTCTTCCCTTTTCAAAATATGGGGAAGCACCAAAGCAGGAAATAAAAGTTACACCTACATTCTAAGTGTAATGAAAAGCATTTAGTCTTTGGCAAGACATATGGGCACTCTACCAATCTAAAAGCTAATCACAGGCTTGCTCACTTGTCAGATAACAATCCAGGCTGAGAGACACATTATCAAAGGCAATGATGGCTTCTGATCCAGCTTTCCAGGATGCAATAATCTGAAGCCAAAATCTGTAAAGAATAATGGGAGAGATCAGACAATGTCAGTCAAGGCAACCACTCATCATAAAACCACTTTGGTCTTAATACTCTCAACCTAGACTTAAACTAAAAAGTATCACCTTTTCAAATTGGTGCCCTCTGGTTGTGTCAACAGTACAGACTGAGAATGATGGGAATTGTAGTCCACACATTTGGAAAGTATTAGGTTCTGGAGGACAGGTAAAACACACTCCTGGAATCTAGCAAATCACTTGTTTTAACAAAATAAAAGCAAGTATTTAGTTTAGATACAAGTGAAAATATCTATGCTGATACACATAAGACTTCCCCATGAAGCCATCTTCAAATGAGTGAGAGCTACAAGGGCAAGAACAGGTGTCCATTTTCTGGATTTACTCACTGATTCTGCCCACTTGGGCTCATCTGTGGTCCAATGTGTTATGCTGCCTCTTTTTCATTAGATGGCCTTTGGCACAGTTTGGTAGGTAAAGGAAAGATCTTTGCTACATCTATAAAAAGGAGTCTCGGACTTACACTTGGTAGCTATTTTCACATAAATATGATTTTCAGTAGTGCTAATCAGAAATACTCAGAAATATTTATTTCTAATGAATTTTATACATTTGTCACAATGGAAGATTGACAGAAATTCCAGAATTGTAGGCCAGACTGGGAGGTTGAAAAAACATCTTGGGAAAAAATGTTTTTAAACTATTTTTTCTTAAAATGCCTCAAACTGGTAGACATAAAGAAGTATCCTTGCTCTTAACTTTTAACTATATGCTTATTTAATAATATTTTACACTGGTATATTTTATGCTGGATTGGTAGGAATATTTAGATATGAATGTGAATACATGTATATGTACACACACACACACATACACACATGCTTATGCACACATGTGTGAACCCATGTGCACATACATGTCCATGCGTATATAGATATAAACACTAGGATGAAAAAGATTCCCTAATGAAAATAGTTATTAAAGAGTTATCTTTAATAATGAATATTTCAGAAACAGACAATACTTGAAAATATCTACTTCTCCCTTTACAAAATGCCTTCTGCTTTAATCCTCATTTCCTCTGAAATACTCCCTATAGAATTCAGATCTTCATACTCATAGCTGCATTGCAATTTCCTGATAAGGTTACCTTTTATTCTATTCCACTTATGAGTTCACTTGAATTTTAATAGTTAAGTTAACAACCTGCATTGCCATCACATGAATTTTCTATTGATCCGATTAAGTCAAATAAATTAAGAGTATATTATTGACTTTATAATTTAATCATATTAATACAACATAAAGCCCCATTGGTGAAAATAATGGTTTAGATAAGGATAGATTCTTGTGCCAATCAACGATAGCTGCTTTCTAACTCATATGGTTTTTTATTTTCATAAATATAGAAAAACTAAAAAGTGAACAGTGTGTGATAAATAAACCCATTCTAATAAGGGCCAGAGCACATTTTATATTAGTAAGAGTGAAATGTATATAAAACTAAAACTCCATACCATCAACAGGTTGTCTGCCTGCCTGCCTGCCTGCCTGCCTGCCTGCCTGCCTGCCTGCCTGCCTGCCTGCCTGCCTNCTATCTATCTATCTATCTATCTATCTATCTATCTATCTATCTATCTATCTATCTATCTATCTATCTATCTATCTATCTATCTATCTATCTATCTATCTATCTATCTATCATAGCTATCCATCTTAGAAGTGAAATTCTGTGCATCTCACAACAATTAAAACAACAATAGAAATAGTAAAAAATAAATTAGCACAATATATAGCTATCTTAAAACCACAGTTAAAAATTCAGTAAAACATAATCACAGTAAAACATATGACTATAAATCATACTCCCTCTAATATAGTCATTGCCAAGGCTGCCCACTATTGCTGAACCCCCTGGCACAATCTCACAGACAAGTCCTTGGGCCCTTCCTAAAGGCAGAAGGGGTGGGTGCCAATCTAAGTTATATTACAATAGCACCAGCCATCAAATGGAGAATTTTCATTCCTTTATTTGAAAATGCCAAGCAATCCATTAGGGAAGAAATATTAAACTGGCATTTCAGGTACCCTACTTCTAAATGCAGTGGAAATAAGTAGGTCTTCCTGATGGATTATTGCAAAGGAAACATTCTAAGGATTGGTTCAAGGAGGTAAAAATGGTGCCATTAGTTTCTCAAAAATATTAAGCCCTCTCTGGAAGGGCACCTTAACCTCTACATTTGAGGCAAGATTGCAGGGACAACATAGGCATCCTCTTCTTACATTATTACCGTTTTCCTTTTTTCTGCTCCACAAGGTGGAGGATGTCTCTCAAAACAGAAAGCCACTTTGAAACTTCTCCCATCTGATTTAGAACAAGAACCTACAACATCTATGTTTATTTCATTTCTACTTAAAAATGCTATTCAAAAGCATGAAATAATTCTCAAAGGATTAAGCCATGATAATGAGGCTAACTATGATTAAGAAAAACTTGTAGAAGGCAACAAAAATCATGCCCATCTGATTGCTCAGCAGGAGTCTAGGGAATAATACTAGCCAAGGAAACAACTCACACAGGGCAACATTGCTATATGTTCTATTAAATTACTAACTTTCTGCATCTTAAATGAACCTTAAGTGCATTTATCAAAATACATTCAACTTTTCGGGTGAAGGGTTAATTTAGGATAGAAATTTATGTGTTGAAAAATAATAAAATCACAGTGCCAATAAATGTAATACAGATGAATGATGGCAAACAGAAAGACTGTTACATTTATAATTTCAACTCTAGTCAACAACAAAACCAAATTTTAACTTTATAACTTTTGTTTAGAATAGTCCTTCACTTCAGTGACAATACTGAGTAGATTTGGCTTTTTACTGCGAGATATATTGAATGCAATTTGAATGGGTTTTGGATTGTATTTCAAGAAAAACTTGTAAATAGGACCCAACAAATATTCTGAATTTTGTGTTAAATCTTTTTCAATTGTATTCACTCACTTGTTTATTGGGGGGGGGGAGTGGAAGCAAGTATAGCCTAAGAAGTAGAAGGCTTTTCCGACATTTCTGGAACAGATTCACTCCTTAATTTCTTTATGTGAACTAGGCTGGATGAAATGGGTCATTCTTCCCTCCCTTTGAACAACTACATTATGTTTCTCATTTGTGTTCTCACATGAATGTATAATATGGAGAAAGATACCATAGAAACAGGTTCACAGTTCTTTGATAGCTGATTTAATTTGCCATTTTGTTATGCTTTTCCTATAATGCTGCCTTTATGAGTTTATACTGCATTTCTATTTGTTTCATACTGCATTTTTGCTATTCAGTTTCAATTTTCATAGCATCATTTATGCTTCCCATCCTACTAAACCTACAATGAAGGAAGGGTTAAAACTTTAAGTAAAGTTTTACCGAAGAAATACATGCTAATGTGTATATTAATCTCTGGAATCACAGAGGGTTGCATAGTGCATTTCAGGAAGCATTTAAATGAACGATATTTTAGAATCACTATTTGTACCTTGTCCTAATCATATGCCTTCCTGTAGCTTTGGTCTAACTGGAACCCTTCCCTCCAAGGAGAGAATTGCACTGGTGCCTCTTGTATTTAGCTCTTTCATCACCTTTCCTTTAATAACTCTTTGTGCCATAATGCTTTAGCTAGCCGAGCAATTTAATATTGGTTTGCAGGCACTTCAGACAGGATCATGCAGCTTTTCTGAATCCAGGAATTGCTCCATAATCATTACAATCATAATTCCATTAAAGGTGAAGATGGCTGTCTAAAGAAAGCCATAAAAGTCTCATATACACTTAAAGTAAGACAATCAAAAGTGAAACAGAGACCTAATAGAGATAAATAGAGAGCATGCACATTTCTTCCATTTTTTTTAAACAATGTTTCCTCAAATAACAAGACCTGTCCACATCTTCATTCAGGTTCTGGCTCAGATTGAACAACAACAACAACAACAACAACAACAAAACTGTGTAAACTCAGGCTCCAGTCAGTTTGGATTTTCTCATCCAAAATGACACGCACACAACTTCCAGTTCACTAACTGGGGAGAAGTTGCGTATTTCATGATAGGATAAAAATGCTATTTCAGAGAAAGGGCCAAACTATTGGAATCAAAATAGGATAAGATTCAAACTCCTTTCTTCTGGCAAATTAAAAGAATCCCATTTCAATAGATATACTTCAGTTGAGCCTAATTTCTTTTTCAAATACCCCCCCCCCCCCTTGTAGCTCTGACTACCCTCATTCTGATTTGGCTTGTGACTTCAACTAGTAGTCAGATGTGTTTGGTTGCATACAAATGTGTCTGCTCAGGTTGCCAGCATGGTTTTAAGTGACTTGGATTTTCTCTGGGGGAGCTGCAAGTGCTGTTGAAGCCACTCAGCTATGAAAAAAAGGTAGCAGTTAATTTTTCAAAAACAGTGTTAAGAAAAGATAAGAAAGGGATGGCAAGAAAATATTCTTCCTTGATCTGTAATCAATAGAAAAATGGTGCAATTCTACTAATAACACTAGTCAGGATCTGCCTGCCAGGTATCCAGCTATAAAGAGTATAGTATTTTTGTTAGTGGCATAAAATGCTTTAATATCTTTATTGTGCTTTCACTCAGCACAGCTTTAAGAAGTAAGCTTATTCTGTTAATTCTATTTCACAGATGAGGAACGGAATATGACTAATTTAAGAAAGTGTCTTGCCTTATCTGTTGAAAAATTCACCTTTCGTTTTGAAAACGTAAGCATGTTCCCGCTCTTATTATTGAGGTGATAGGTTTATCATTCATGAACAATCCCTTAGTTGAAATCTCAGAAGCCAGGACACCCAGAGAGCAACATCTCTGTTTTAAAATCTAATTATAGTATAAGCTACTTTGTACAGATCCAGTTTCTAAACAATGTCGTTAGTCAGCATTCCTTTCTTTAGTTTCTCTGCATCTAGAGATCAAGTCACATTTCTTTTCCAGCAA